ACCAGGATGGTCTCGATCTCTTGACCTCGTGATCCACCCGCCTCGGCCTCCCAAAGTGCTGGGATTACAGGCTTGAGCCACCGCGCCCGGCCTTATATTATTACTTTTTAAAAATAAAATTTTTAAATATTAAAAAAAATGTTTAAATAAAAATCTTTAAACTCTTCATGATGTGGCCGGAATGAGTACAAGTATGCAATTCAATGATCCCAACATTTGATGGTGACTGTCAATTATTACATATTATATATAGGCAAGTTTAAATTTTGTTTCCAAACTGCATGCAGGGACTTTATTTTCAAGTAGAGAGACTGTTCATGAGACTGCATAAATTTATAAAGATTAATCTAAAATCTGAAACATCCCAATCAAAATAATGAGCAACTGTGTATCTGTGACTGACTTCAGGTATTTTCTTCACAGCCAGGAAAGATTTCTTTTTCTTTTTTTTTTGGAGACAGGAGCCTCACTCTTATCGCCTGGGCTGGAGTGCAGTGACACAATCTTGGCTTACTGCAGCCTCCACCTCCTGGGTTCAAGTGATTCTTCTGCCTCAGCCTCCTGAGTAGCTGGGATTATGGGCACCCACCACCACACCTGGTTAATTTTGTATTTTCAGTAGTGAGGTGGTTTCACCATTTTGGTCAGGCTTGTCTCAAACTCCTAACCTTGTGATCCACCCACCTCAGCATCCCAAAGTTCTGGGATTATAGGCATGAGCCACTGTGCCCAACCAAAACCTTTGCTTTTTAAAAAGGTGTTTCTTGAAGTATCTTATTAAACATTTAATTTGAAGGAAACCGTGCATGTCTAACATACTTGCCTTTTACAGAAAGCTGGCCGGCCAAAACTGTATCATCAACTACAGATGTTATTTTTAGAAGTGGACTGTCTCTTAAATGAAACAGAAAGCATAAAGCATGGACTTGTACAAGCTGAATGAGTAGGCCGGGCGTGGTGGCTCATGCCTGTAATCTAAGCACTTTGGAGGCCAAGGCGGGTGGATCACCTGAGGTCCAGAGTTCAAGACCAGCCTGACCAACATGGTAAAACCCCGTCTTAAAAAAAAAAAAAAAAAGGTGAATGAGTAAATCATAGTTATGACTGATAACATTTAATTCCATTCTTGGTATAAACTGCTTAAGAGTGTTTCAGACTATCACTGATGTCTGTGATAAAGAGCACCAAAGTATGCACTATCATCACAGTCCAACTTTTAAGCTCCAAGTTTAAACAAGTGACCAATAATGGTTGGTCCTTGAACACCTTTCTAACCACTTCCTAACACTTCTGAGAGGTATGTGGCTCCTCAAACTTGGAAAAGTAAAGCGATCTGCCTAATTTCATGTAATGAATTAGTTAATAAAGTTCCTGTTTTCCCCTTTAAAAATACAGATGTCCTTCCAAAAAAAACACATTATGTGGAAGTCCTAAACTGTGAGAATCATTCTGGATAGTAAAGTTCTTTTTTTCTTTTTGAGACAGAGTCTCACTCTGTAGCCCAGGCTGGAGTGCAGTGGCACAATCCTGGCTCAATGCAACCTCTACTTCCCCGGTCCCGGTTCAAGTAATTCTCCTGCCTCAGCCTCCCGAGTAGCTGGGATTACAGGCACACGCCACCATGCCCAGCTAATTTTTGTATTTTTTTTTTTTTTTTTTTTTAGACGGGGTTTCACCATGTTGACCAGGATGGTCTCGATCTCTTGACCTCATGATCCACCCGCCTCGGCCTCCCAAAGTGCTGGGATTACAGGCTT